TTCAGAAATGGAGAGGATGTTCAAAACAAACGCTTTTCCCGATATTGTAATATGAAACAAAATGTGATCAAGAAAGCAATGCTGTTACTCCGATGTTTGATTTTCCTGTGTGCCATTCTGTTATTATTCTTAGGAACCTTACAAGTGTTTCGTGTTTACGTGCTTCAATGTTTGCCGTAACAGGGAACTTTTTATTGTCGTTGCATACCTATTGCCCAACACTCGTTACAGATTGCCCAAAGCTCTGAAAATAAGAATAACCGCTCTTCACTTACACAAGTAAAAACTGTGATAGACTGCTATGAAGAGATCATATACAACCATAAGTATTATAAATATCTGATATAGTTCAAATTTTATTCTCAGGCTGGTTTGAACCCCGGTACAGTTAAAATTGTTTACGACTTTGCATTGTTATTTCAGAATAAGTTCAGTGCAAGGTACTGGACTGTATGAGAATATTAGAACTCATTGCCCATGACACCTGCTGGACATATATCAGAACACCCTGAATACTCTTTATAATATACATCTATTACCGTAAACGAATCATTTAAGTTGTCAACCGCACAATAACACACAATAACAGATGGTGGAAAACATTGTCCATTAACCTAAACGCAAAAAGTGAACAATCGAGCTTTGGCATATCTAATTAGAAAACGAGTAAGTTGAAAATAAACACGACATAAACAAGCGTGCAGTCAAGAGTTACTGTTTGTTTTAAACTCTACATTAACGGGATATACGGATGCTCGAGTGACAAAAGGAAGCAGTTTCATGGTTTTATCAATTCACTGCAGATTTCATAGCTGTGTATGTAATCGGTCGTCATGCTCTCAACATACGTTAAACTAATGCATAGCTTACAACACTAGTTATATTGGTAATGATAAGTGAGTAGCTTGGAGTTAGTTCACCACGCTATAAAGCATTCCTTGCTTGGTTGCATTGATCTCTTCTCCATAAACGTAATGCTTCGTGTCCCAGATGAACTAATTCAAGTTCAGTATTTTCTGGTTAAGTAGTTTGTGCTCGGAATCATAGTGGAACTTCAATTATTCGTTCACGGTAGCTGTGAACTTTTACTTGCGCGACTGTAAGTAGCAACAGAGGAATTAGAAGTTCCTGTTTTATTTAGAAATATTCACGTTCCACAGTACCTCGTATAACCACACATAACGATTGGGTATAGCATTTAATAAAGATTTTGAATTCTGATATTTAGTACCCCTGTGATTGCAGCATTTGTTTGAGTTGCTCTCATTTCAACACGTCATGATCGAACGACACTGATACACGATCAATGGTCTACTCGTTGAGGTGTGTCTACACATGCACTCCATCTTCAGCAATTGTGTTGTGTGATAAGATTTCCTTACCTCATTATTCGCGAAGGTAGGTAGCGACCTAAGATTTGGTAACCTAAAACAGATGAACAGAGACAATAAACGCCTAGATGAATGCACTTCGTCATGCCGATTATTTTAGACTACCCGGTCGAGGATTTCAAACTGTGCATCTTTGATAGACGCATACATTAGATAATGTGGCAGAGTCTTTAGTAGTGAATTTCATGCATCTATTCACTTCCCCTGAACGATTCATTTTTAAGCTGTTTGAAGGACTATAACTAATTTATATCGGATCATAAGATTTGAGGTTCAAATTTTACCAACGTCGCCAAACTTTAGGCGTAGATAGCTTTCTTACAATTTGGCCTAAAACCATGCCTTGCATGTTGGAATTGTGTGCACCTTGAAGTTTTAACTCCCGCTGGATACGATTTCAGTCCCCAGATGGAACAAAGGTATTTTTGTCTGCTGAGTTTACCTTACCGTTTGTCATATAAATAAAAGGAAAATTGTTTAGAAAACCTTTCCCAACTGCTTTCTGTCCTTTGTGATCCCAAGTTGAAGAAATGAGTAAGTTAACTTTGATAACCAGTACCGGAGGACTGTGTAGTATGCTTAGAAAGTAAGGCAGTTGGAGTACAGCCCATGATGCGAATTCAAGCTGTTCACAAAATACGGACTAATCCTTTGATCATAGCAAATCATCTAGTTACGTTTTTTTACGAAAAAGTACATTTTGAAGCAGACTGAACTGAGATAAAGTTATACATGTATAAATGAAGGACGAGAGACAATATCGTAACAGGTAGCATGCTGTTAACGATAAAGTGCTTCGATAAAAACCTCATGATAATGCGTTCGAACTGATGAATTCACATGCGAAAAAATGAAAACCGATTGAGTACAACTCGATCATTCTATTCGCCTATACACTTGTTTACCCTATCACCGCCCTACGATTCTTGAAGTGCAGATAACCCGTTCGGTGACATAATCCACCCGTTTCATCCTCCCACACATCATCCAGTGAAAGTGCTGAGAACAATCAAGTTGTTATGCTACAACACACTAATTTCAAGATGTAGCAAATTTACGAAAGAGTATGGTACATTGGACGCCTTAATGTTCCTTGTCGAGTTCTGGGGTGGTCTACATTCATGCTGTTAACTGTGCCTATCGGCATGTATGAGATTTTTCGAACTGCCGAAATGTCCAGTCAAATAGAACTGATACATGTTTTTCAAAAATGTGGATGGCTTTTGTGTATGCATTTCGATGCTGATGAAAGTCCCGGTTCGTGAACAGTTAGAATACAGGGAGATGAATCCGGTTTGTTCGGTAGCTCTTTTCTCTCACGCTAAACAAGCTTATTGTCAAATTTGACCTAATTGGTACTGATTCCAGCACCAATCGTGGACCTTTATCCTCAGTGAGATTATTACCAGAAGAAATGACTTTAATTGCCTGAAAACAGTAACTGGTTGTGTTGTACATTTTGTACAGAAAACGAAACAGCCTGGGTGGATTGTGATTGTATTCTACATGCATGATTTAAGCACTAGATTGATTGACTCACTGTGTAACTTCTGAGTTTTGTTTCTCATATTTTTCCTACTTTCTAAAACTCTTTCGTTTCGAAATACTTAGTTTAACAACGGTCTAATACATCTGGATGGATGTTTAACGTGATTCATAATTTATAATCAAGTATACGAACCACAGCTGTTGCGACCGCTACTACCGCTACTGCTACTATTACTACCAATAGTAATACTATTTAATTTACTACCACTAAAATTACTGCTACTAATACATCTGTATAATGCCCAGTAATACTGCGGATGATTGAAAGCTGTTGTCTACAGAAATAATCAGGAAAGATAAGTGTAAAGGAGGGTATTTAAAAAAACACTTGTAATATAACTTCGCAATCAACAGAAAGGTTTGTGAACATTAAAGCACTCACCTGGCTATCCTCGCCACTCATGCTTCTCTAGTATCGCGCTTCCCGAAGAGCTTATTATATTCTTGCCGATTGTAGAATAGGGTTGTAAATAAAAGTCTATTACGTCAGATGAAATAAAATAAAAACTGAACGTTTGTTTAGAATCCTAGTTCAAAAGGGATATGCACCAATAATCTCACGGAAACGATTAGGAAATTAGAGGAAGGGGTCAATAATGACCTCTAGATATCGCTCTCAATAACAGTATCCAGTCAAGGGAAACATTTAGACCTAACCGACCATATTCGCTATTCCAAGCGAGCATTCTACGTGGCCGCTGTAATAGGACGTGACATTTCCCTCCTTAATAAACGTACAGTAGCAGCTGTGTTCTACTGACCCCAGATTCTGTCAAGCACAAATAGGACGGAAGTAGGAACAACTCAACAAAAATAATTCGAGTGTTTTATTTAAGTCAACTTTATTCTTTATCTCCAGTGAAATTTTACACACAATAACAAGATACGCTGATATAGGGGAAATTTGATTGCTACACTCCACCGCAGAAATCTTTCAGAAATCATGAATTTCTCTAACAAATTTAGGTTAGAGATCTTCAATCCCCCAAATTTTGTTTATCCCAGTGAGGACGAATTTACAGTGTGGACTGTCTTCGAAATTTCTTATAGACAGCTGATTGTGTCAGCCATACGATCGATTAAAATATACCCGAAATTTCCAAATCAGTTTGAACTCAAAAGAACGCAGTTATCTTCTGGAATATAAACTCATCGAGAACGGATTGAAAATCTGCTATTGGAAATTGTTTGAAAATCAGTTACTTATTAAGCAACCTAACAGTCACGCGAGATAATATCGGGACCACATGAATTGGAATAGATTCTTAAAAGTGTTTCTTATAAAAGGTGTAACAGCTTTCAGAGTGAATTGCAACATAAAATCAGACAGCACTGTCTTTACATAGCATTACGATAGAGGAGAATAAAGTATACAGCAGAAATAGTTCTCTGTGATATACTCGTACTCTGAGGATCTTTTCTAAACTTTCTGCGGACGTTTCACCTATACGTAAGTTAAATCCTTAAGGCATAACCAGGATTCATCTGAATACCAAAAATAAGCCTTCTGACATGCATGTTCCACGTCTTTTGTAGAAGAATAACTTCTTATTATCGTGCTTTTCAGTGGAGCTTACCAAGATGTGAGATATTTAACCAATCATTGTATCATTGTGATTTTCTGTTTTCTAAATCTTGTTTACGAAAAGCATTCTAAAGATCAATAGTTTTTAACCAATAGCTGATCTTCCCACGGGAAGGACAGAACTACATTCAGTTATGCATCAACCAATTACATTCACATATGGTTATGAATGAGCCAATCATAGACTAGGGAGTGTAGTGATGCTGTGCAAGCCGTCGAAAACAGTGAGAATTGATCAAGGCCTACTGAAGCACAAAATATTAATAAGACGGATAAGGCGATAAACTGAATGACTGGTTAAGACCAGCGTGCAGGTAACCGAGATCGGCGACCAACGGATCTCGAACTGTTCGCGCACCTTGTTCAAACGAAACAACGCCACCATCGTATCTTACCGTTTACCGTTATTCTATCTCATTTACGTAATTTGTGCTGCAAGATGGAAAGTAACAACAATCAATCCCTGGTTGATCCAGAAGGGAAACCATTGAAAAGTGAACCTCAGTGTAAAGATTATCACCGAACGTCACGTAGCCGGGTGGCCAGACTGACTGACCGCATTCGTCTCACACGGTATCCGATGGCCCGAGCCTGTTTGGCCGAATGCTGCGGAACGGCAATCATGGTTATTTTTGGTTGTGGTGTACTGGCTCAAGTTGAACTGGGCTCAGGCGGTATGCAAAAGCACGGTACTTTCATCTCCATCAGCTTGGGATGGGGTCTGGCAGTTTGTTTGGGTGTATTCTTTGCCGGAATAAATGGCAGCGGAAATATCAATCCAGCAATCACATTGGCGTGGGCTATACTAGGCAGGATACCCTACAAACGAGTTCCATTCTACACAATTTCTCAAATATTTGGAGCATTTCTGGGAGCGGTGACCATATACGGTGTATATTGGGAGAAGATTTGGGAGCATGCCACAGTGTATGATGGTGGAGAGCTGTTTGTCAACACCACAGGCAACATCTTTGTCACTAATCCGCACGCATCCCATTGGACTTGTTTCATTGATCAAGTCATGGGTACAGCATTATTGGCCGCTTGTGCTCTGGCCATCGTAGATCGAAAAACCTGGAATCTACCTGATTTTATGCACCCCATCTCACTAGGTCTAATGGTCTATGCCCTTGTGGGGTGTTTCGCTTTAAATGCCGGTTGTGCTTTGAATCCAGCTCGTGATCTTGGACCCAGATTGGTTCTTTTAATCTGTGGTAAGTATTGAAGTATATATGCCATTGTTGTAGCTGTTATGCAATTTGGGTTGGCGAAATGTTTCTCCATGTTGGACCATAGAACTTTTATTCACTGCTCAGAAGTAGCCTTATGTTTTCTCATTAGAAAAGCCGCTTGTGTGGTTCTATGAGATATCAGAAAATACCGAAGAGTGTTTCGAGTGAACGTATGATTATTATGAGAAGTTTATTGATGATAATAAAAGGTTATTCACTAATTTTTCCATTTAATTCAAATCTGAGTGACATCTGCCAATACAGATCAACAGTTTATAGAACTACATCAGGAGAGAAAAATGGAAGAGAAAGACTTACCAGAAATAAAATAAACGAAAACAACCATATCTTCCAGCCAGTATATGGTCCAGCTTAATCAGCCAAAATATTTAGGTTGACGAACAATTTATACACTATATCACGCTTGTGACACGGTGTGTCAAAAGCGCGACAATGCGATGACATTTTAAGATATCGATGTTGATAGATAATTTAATCCTGTCAAACAAAAGTTTGTTACAATAGCTCAAAATCAAGAAGCAGCCTTCGTTGTTCCTGTTTGCAGGGGACAAAGTTTCAACAAATTCATAATAACAAGTAGCTGTCTAACTTGACCAGGTCTAGGCATGTCTCGAATGCCCCAAAAATACATCCGATTTTTGACAATTATGAACATTGTGTTTCCATGCCCCGGTTAAATCCCTTAAAAGTCTTAAACCTTAGAGCAACCAGTGCTTTACAAAGCAAAGTAGAATGCTGCAGAGTAGCAGAATTTCTTCTATTATAGTTAACATGCATGATCATCATAGATAACATTGTAATAGGTTAATGGACAAAGTTGATTGTGTAGACTATTATTTTCACGCAGATTGTTTTGCAGTAGGTACTGTTTCAACTCCACTGTAAGCGAATCCTAGCAATCTACATAACTGAAATAAACCCATTAGTGTTGAGTGAAAAGCGGATGAGATGAAGTCTATGATAGTGTCACCACCAGCACTAGCTCAATTCACAACTTTGAACTTGGACGCAATCTGCTACTTCATGACGGATCGATTGAATGGTTAAAAAGAAAAAGAGAAAAATAGAGGCGCAGAGGAAACGGGTTGATGATTACACATCCTTAAGTAAGCTGGATTACAGGATCACTGTCAATTAGTGTCGACGACGAATTCTACTGTTCTGTCGGTAAAACAGAATTCGGACTTGCTCAGTGGGTTAAAATCAATGGTGTTGGTCACCCAGATGGTGAAGGCACTCAAAACTTCATCCTCAAATGAATCCGTTTTCGCAGCAAGAAACGTTTAAAGTGGATCAGTAGCAATCAGTATATTTCTTTTGATGCGGGTTACGATAATATAATAATACTTAAGTCTTCAAAAGTTTTGCAAAATTTAGATACACTAACGGAATTTTCACTACTTCATTTATCAGTCTACAGTGGGCTAAATCATAGTAATAATGAGAGTTATCAGTGAAAGTGATGCACCTATTTTGTATTCATTTTTTAGGAAATAATTAAATATTGTCGAATACGCTTGTTAGAGCAAAGCATCCCACAACTATCAAATCCTAGTATTATTTGTAAACCCTCAAAAGAAGTAAATTGATAACAAGCCACGAGAATTAGAACCAAGGAGCACTTTCACATTTAGGTTTGGTATGAGTGTAGTATCGTAAATTTATTGCACTCGTGCGCGTTAGCTCTTTATACGTTAACCACACAGCTCAGGCACAAGGGTTTCGGCGTTCAAACCCGGAACGTTGCGTTTGGAGGCCCTTTGATGTAATGAAAAAGGGTGCATTGGTGACCTTTTTCAAGGAGGATGGAATACATGTCAACCGATGAAATCTGACTTTTGCTAAGGAGAATTTGATAAGTCAATGCTTATCATTCCTTTACCACGTTATTTAAAACGTCTTCTTATGGCCTTTCTTTATCTGATTGCGATGACTCAAGAGAGGTTTGACATATTTCTCGGAAATAGATATTTCCCATTTCAAAAGCGACTATTTGTTAATTGATAAGAAATGTATCCGCGAATGTCATTCCGGTGTTTCTCTAATGAGTCGAGTTACCTGAAATATCAGCGCTCAAACGAAACTTTCGATGAGCTTTTCTGAACAGGAGTAACCAGTTGAGCCTTGAGCTATCCATGAACTGCAGCCTGTACGCTGCCGCAGACGATTTGGTGTTGTTATAGGTTCCAGCGACTCGTCTGCTACTATTGCATGATAAAAAAAGAATATCGGTTTTTGAACATATCGCATTTCATGAACATAAAATGTCGAATTCAGAGGGATTGTATAACTTATTCGATTTGATGCGCTAATCCACATTCCCGAAACACTTAGATTATGATGGATGGGGCATGTGTTACGCATGTCACCAAAGAGGCTTCCTTGGCGTGTAATGTTGGCCAAATTAGGCACTAGAAGCAAGAAAACCAGAGTTGATCAGAATAAAATGTAAAAGGAAATACATGCTACTGTTAAACAGCTCGTCTGATCAAATAGTGTTCTTTGAGCTCACAGGTTGGTACCTTGAGACAAACCGAATACGCAAACACTGGGGTGCATGCAGGGGGTTACTCAACAACGGCACATCCGGGCCAAATGTATTCTTCAAAATTTGTTTGTTTCGCTTTCTTCATTCCACTCCCGTTTTCTCATTTGGAATCGGTAGCCCCAGAGCGGTCAATACCTGGACAAAGCATTTTTAGCTTGTTGATTGCACAAATGAAGAAACTTAGAATTGCCATCGTGAATTAAAATAAAACGATATTTCATATGAAGAAAAACTATTGCCTGAATTAATTGCCTAGAATTGAAGTATAATTAAAACAATCAGCCTTTAAATCCTTTAGATTTCTCACTGAGCAAAATTTCGTTTCAAACACACCTTCTTGAGTGATTCTTGATTTTGATGGCGGTGTGGAGGTGACCAGGTCTTGCTATGGACCTCTGTAGTTTTTGAAACGCATGACTCGGTTTTAGATTAGTTACTCCTGATGATGTAATTCTTTACTGACAATTTATCGACCAGGCTTATTGAAATATCACCACTTTGTGCCTCATCAACGTAGGCAGATAATCCACACTGACTATATTGGTGGAAATTGGTTTCTATCATGAAACTCTGTCCATGAATAAATGCGAAAATACACTGCTTTTATTCGTCCCTCTCTAAAGAATAGTAGGTTTTATCTTTTCCACGAGCGCAAGATAAATCCTGAAAAGTATCTTCCTTCAGATTTCTTTCCGGATTGATTTAGCTTGATTCAAGAATGGTAAATGTATATGTTTTATACGTGTTTCAGGTATTTATCAATTACATTGTGTCGTGGCAAAGAGCTTGAACCACGACACTGCTCAAAAAATGATGAAGTAAATCAATAGCATTGCTCAGTTTATACGCATGTGACTACCATAAAGTTTACGGCATTTTAATGATGTTCATTTTTTATTTATGCCCCATAGTTATTTTTTTGGACGTAACAGTATATGGGATGAGATTTTTAAATCTTTCCTTGGCTGTTTTAGTATACTCTGCTTGATGCCTTTTGATATAACAACATCCATGATCAACTGTGATTAATGGTTTTCCCTGAAAAATAAAGAATGGAGAAGGCAGTTAATTCATGAATCATTTGTCTTTACTTTACATTGTGTAACAGTTATCCAATTTAAATGGTTGCCATTTGGTTACAACTTCTTGTGGGACGTTATGATCAAGTTATTAACTATCACTGAAGCCTATTTCAAACACCTATTATGGAACCAACTGACGGAATCCGTCGATTATATTATTTACAGGTTGGGGATCCAGCGCATTCACCAGTGGAAATTACTACTTCTGGATTCCAATTGTTGGTCCTTATTTGGGCGCAGTTATTGGAGCTTTACTGTACGAGCTCACAATCGGTATCCACGTGAGCGGACGAAAAACGGAATCTGCACATGCGGACGGTGCGCAAAATTTGTGAAAAACGTTTTACACAATCATTTTTGTGGTTCGTTGGTTTATTCGATTAATGTACACGACAAACTTGCGGACGATTCCAGTCTATCCTTCACATTGTTCTGATTCATGGGCCCTCAGCTTTTCAAAACGAGATCCAACCACCTCCGTCTTTCCCCTATCTGCCGACAAAATTGAAATTAATTCTCTCGAGTTCATATAAAACAGAAAGAGTGTAAGCTAGTATTTTGCCTCCTTGTGAACTGCCCTGTCCCGCAAGCATCACCGCTTGATTACAATCTATCATCTTACCCGAATATAATGATTAGTAATTCATTCTAATTGCTCGGGTTGTATCATAGTCCAGAATTCCATTATCAAATCATAATAATATAGTACACCCAATATTTGTTGTTATTTTTGTCCCCCGAGCAGAAAATAAAATAAAGCATGGAACAAGTACAACAGTAATGGTCCACCATTTTGTAAAACCCTGCTGTAATTTCAAATGCAAATACACCAATAATGTGTTCAACCACAATTGATCATCTTCTTGAGTGCTTTCTATTGTTACCAGTACTGCGTCACCGTTTGTTCAAAATATAAGAACAGAACAAAGATACTTATCTGTTTATCGACAACACCAAAATAGTAATGGAATAAGCATAGCCAGACTGAATATATATATATATATATATATATATGTATATATACAGAAAATATTGTATTAGTCTATTAGCAAAAAGCTGTATAAATGGAACAACCTCCACTGAAACCAGCTATCTTCTTGTCTGCGAAGTTACACGGATAGAGCTTTTGACTCCTAGCTGAGATTCTTCGGACAAGAGTTTCCAGAAAGGGAAAATAATATATCTATAGATGATTAGTCCGAAGTCCAAACGGTTAGCCAGAGCTTTTCTGGCATCTTAACTGGTATTTCATCGGATTTAAAATGGATTACGATCAACGAATTATGCATTACTAAGGGACTTCAATCCATGCGAACAAAATACACAAATCGAATTATTTATAACGGTAGTTAGCCATTTACCTCCAAGGTATTATGACCGTTTTGTACTCCAATCTCATCATTTAGTTCAGGATCACGTATGGTCATCAGTACCGCCCCACCTCCAAACAGACATGGAAAAGAAAGTCATGAAAAAAGCACTGATTTCCTTCCAAAAACACATAATTGAACACATGAAATTGCGTGTGTCGTACAGGTCTGAATGTTAGATAATGAAACCGTTATACCATACCACAAAGCTGTAGAAATAAGCAAATTATATATACGGAGGCACCATAGCTGATCAAACAATTGGAATACTCATAAGCGCAATACTAAAACTCGAATCTTTCTCTGTTTGTTTGCTTGTTTAGCTACGTTTAATTTTCTGGATGAAGTACTTCTATTACCAATGTGATACATCGAAAAGCAAAAAGTGCTTCGTGTTAAATGAAGGGCAAGGAGACAGATCTGTAGTTTAGAAGGCTCGCCAATAACTCAAAGGATCAACCACACACAGGTGGAAACATGTTGATCAGGGGGTCGCACGATAAAAGCTTTATTTTTAAAAAGGAACTTTGCTGATGATTGGTTTATTCTCGCGAAAAACATTGCAGTGTATTCTTCAGTTAACCGAAGTATAAAACCGGAGAAGAACAGTAAAATGGGAAAATGAACAGGTAAATTAACTTGAGAAAAATGACCTGCGGGAGTCTCAATAGTCTGACTTTTAAACACTTTCTAAATCAGTCAATTACAGGGACATATTTGTGAAAACCATTTATGATTGCTGTTTTCCATGAGTTTCATTTAATTGGAGAGTAAATGTGGATACGGTGTGAACATGCGGGGAACGTATGACGGAGCAAATAAAATCTAAAATATAGAGGATAACCTGCCTTGTGGTTACATCAGTTGCCCATTTGAAAATACGGGCAGGAAAGTTGTCGCAAACAAATTTTGAAAGCACCATGACATAGAACAAGAGCATATTACCTTTGACAGTCCCAAAAATATTCGCTTATTTTCTCATGGTTGTTCTATTTACTTCATTGTTCCCGCTTAGTGTAGTGTTTCGTTAACTAGGAAAGGAGGTGTTTGGAAAAATCGATATGCTCAATTATTTATTAAGCTTCATTATGAAAACAGCAAACGAAATGTGAATTGAAATGCTAAGCATCACTGTGAAACGATTATGATATACTTAGATCTCACCAGTAATGCGAATCTATCGACCCGACTGTGAATCAAAACTGGGGCCTCAAAAGTTGAATACAAGAATACTACTCACCTGATCACACGGGGGTAGACGTTTATACAGTTGTAAAACAACTCATATTGACCAAGTTGTTACGGATGTCGCTTATTTCAGCATCGACATCCAGGGTTATAACTTCGTTGGAACCCTTCAAAAGCCGATCGTATAATTAAGTTTGTTCATCATTGCAGGCCCAAACACAGACTTGAAGTATAATCTCAGAAAACATGGAAGATAATTTTCATACTCATTTAAGATGACAAATTCTAGTCTCAACCGTTCAGATCTGATCTGGGTTGCGCATGTGTATGTGTGAAATCTGATAGTTTTAAGTATGCAGTGGGTTTATCGCGGGCTGGGGAAAGCCTGGTGGTCCAAAGAGCTCGACAGCTTGCAAATACCTCTTCTGGATACCTTGAAGGAATATGCAATCAGAATACTTACTGCTTTGCCTGTGGATACGACTTGCTTTCTTTGCTTACACTAAAGAGTTTTAATGAAACGAAATATGCATGTTACACCAAAAGAGAGATTTGACTCAACGGAGTGCGAAAAAACCGAACGGGTAATTTTCCTATGTTCCAACGCTCTTGTTACTGCGAAACAAAAAAAAACATTAGACCTGATTCCCTGGTCCAATTCATAAGCCGGAAAAGTACTAGTTCTGTTAAGTTATTGGTTCATAGGTAATCGAAATTTAACTGACGATAAATTGTTATCCAGAGTTGGGAACCCGCTTCACATTAGTGCCAATCTAATATGTTGATTGGTAATATAGCAAATAAACTACATACGGTAGGTGCGACCGATCAAGAAATCCATTTATTTCGCAGCGGTTATAGAGAATAGAGCTACCGGGAAAGACCGATTGATAAGATAACGCTAAGATATATGGTAAAACCAACAACAATAGGCGGTGCATAAAAAAAAGCAAAAATACAACCTAATATACATTATTAGGTATAGCAAGTAGAAAATTCTGCTCTAGACAACTGGAGGCTCTATTTATACTCAGACCAAATATGCATTTTAACTGAAGAACAAGTTGTCGGATCCAGGGGACTACTGTATACATTCCCTCATTCCTTCTTCTACGATTCCGTAGGATGAGCCGCCGACCAACCACTTTTGTGAGTGCCGGTAAATTATATGATGTGAGTGATGTTTTCATGACCATGAGTTAAATCTGTTGGTGGGTTTGAAATACATTTTGTTTCATCTGTAAAGTTCAATGTCGGCAATCAAGCGTCAATGAGAGTCATGGCCGCTGCTGAAACCACAAATATTTGGAGTTATTATTCCCCCTATGTTCGACAACTACATTTGGGCAAGTAATTACGCTCTCTTGAACCACTGCATTATCTGTAAACCATGAGCATCCATGCTTCTTTCGACGCTGCACCCGATTTCTCGCAAGCCCCCATACGAATAATAGAAATTAATGTCACTCGCCACATTGTAAGTGTGGTTATGTGTAAGATTTGCTTGGACTCCTGAATGTGCGGTCGCGGACGATCAGCGGCAGCGCCCGAGGATGTGGCGTGTTAACCTCCTGACAAAGGTTCTCCGAACAAAACACCACAGATTTGTGAAAGCTCTGTGAAGTGGAGAGTGTGGCTCGCGACTAAATATGTCCATTGCCCCTTTTCCGAAAACTACTGTTTGACAAGGTTTCCCTGAAGAGGCCAATGAACCAAATACTGGCCACCATATCATACGCGATATCGCTGCTGCCTTCCTATCCGTGCTTGGTTTTCGCGACGGTTAGAGACCACCCTCAAGCAGGGCCTGCTCTGGACCAGGAGAATGAGTAGTACAACAGCCCAAGAAGCATACAATAATGAATTTCTAAAATCTCACATCTCTCCAGTCTACAGTTTCTTTGCACAGGGATAAACATTCTATACAGAACACACAGATTCATGTCTCCCCAGCCCTCCCCCCTTCTAACACACCACAGCTCTCGGGTTCTTCAGTCGATCGTACTAACAGTAGCGCCTCAAATGGAAACTCTGCCGCTGTTCTCTCGTGTCATATCTCGACTACTGCCCAAGTCTTATTTCTGATGCGCAAGGAAAAATGTCTCGGTGGGTGTAACACTTTAGTCTCCTCAATCGCCCCCAAATTCAATTTACGCAAAGTGTTCTCTAGCCATTTTAGACCCTCTCCGTAGCGTACTGTGTGCAATCTAGGAAACCGAAATTTACCCAACTGAATAGACCACATAGATTTTACTAAATTTCTCTAAAAGGGTGACAAACCAGTGTGCGTAAATTACAGAGGCATCAGTTTACTTAACCGCTTTGCTGCATCAAGGCACGCGTGCTCTCGTCATGATCAGAAGGGATTCTACCCCAGTGTGGGCTGCATTGACCAGATATTGACTTTACGATCACTCTAGGAACATCGCCACAAGATTTTAGCAACCCACAACATTCTGCTTGGTTGATTCCCGTGCGGCATTCGACTCCGTAGATCGCGAATCCTTCTGAAACTTTGCCGTTGACTGGATAATGGGTCTTTCAATGAAAGGATACCAGGGAGTTCAGGTCTCTCCAAATTTATAGCTCATCGACTCAGATAGAATTTGCTGATGATATTATCGTCTTTGGTGTGGACATGTCCAACATCCAAGTAATCGTTGACCGCATCAGTCGACAGGCCATGGAAATCGGCCTAGAGGTGAAAACACAAAAAATAAAACTTTTGTGACAGTCCCGATTTATCCCGAAAATGCTCTACTACTAAACGGTGAGCC